AAGACATCAAGGATGCTCTAGACTTTCAATAAAGCGTGAACATATTAGTCTAAACTGGAAATACTGGGAGCCAGTTAGAGTTTTAGTTGGTGCTCAGTGCACTCAGAAGGTTTTGTCTTATTACACTGAAACTTACATGGGCTGAGAATATAAAATTGTGCATGTAGAGGGGAAGACATTGTTTTCAAGTCTTGTCTTTGGGTCTGGCTTTAAAAGTTTAACATTTAGTCAGATACAGTTAATAAATCCGACCAATTAATTGTTGATTTTTATAGTGTCATTATTATGTCATCATAGTGCTGTACTGACTAGAGAGGATGCAATAAAACAATCAATTTAAGTTTAGTAAACCAAACTTTAAATTAATTTGAAAATAAAAAGGAAAAACAGTGGGAATCAGTGATTACTTATTTAGGCACAACCACAGCTTACGTGCCCATCTGTCTGGCTGCTTATTGGTTGACGTAACAGGCTGCTGTCTTCTGTCAAATACTGAACACAGGCAGGCCAAAGAGCCATAGTCACCGTAGGTGGCTGCCACTTGACTAAAATGTTGTTTTTAGATCTTAAAAACCATAATCCTTATTTTGATCAACTCTTCATAGTGAAGTTATGTTCCTAGACTGGATGTATCCCATATATGCTAACAGTTTGTTTTGTTTATACTTTGCGGGACTAAGAGACAAGCCTCATATTTAGTTCATAGATGTTAGAGTCCCATCTAACGCCTTGAAAAGAATAAAACTCATTCCTTTGAGTGACATCTTGCTGTAATACTTACCTGTGAGCTTTTATTCTTGTTGTCAAAGCATGCATTACCATTTAATGTGTTCATACTATAAAGAACGTGATATTCTTTGGAACATACCTTCTGTGGTACTCGTATAACATGTTTTCCTTTAGTTTATAATTTGAGTCGTATAACTCCAATATATATTTTCACTCAAGCAGTAAATTACATTGTTTAGTTATCAAAGGCTTTGTGTAATTACATTTGTGCAATTCAGGATGACAGAGCTGATAGTGTCTGCACAAGACGCTGGCATACATAATCACAGGCGAAATCCCATTAGGGAGGATGGAGACCATTATTATGGAAATGACCTTTGGGTGACAAGAATTCAGGGGGATAAAAGAATACTATGTAATCCTGACAAAGAGGCTGTGTGAAGCCACTTGCTCTTTATTTTCTCTTGTGCAAATTTAAGAAATTTATGGTGTTTTATGAATGTGCAATTGTGTTTTGTAGTGTCACATTCCTTTTTTTGTGTGTGCAAGAAGCCAGTTAGTCTGCTTGAGAAGTGAGATTTAACAGTGCATTGCTAATTTCATCCTGCCTTTCTGGTGTGGGGTATGGGTAACTGCAGGGCCAAGATAGCAGAAGAAAAACTTTTTGATGTGTTTGTTTCTCCCTTTTTTTTCCACCGTGGCACCTTCATTGAGAACTTGCTCACCTTGGGATTACTGGATTGTCAAGCTGAATCTCCGTCTGTTTGTTTTGAGCCACGCTTTGATACTCTCACACTAAAGAGGCAGCTTCATAAATTCACATTGTGTCAAATAAATCAATAGATCCTATTAACTGAGGAAGTTGTGTAGTGCAGTACTTGAGGGACTGTGCCCCCCCTCGTTCAGGCATTTCTCCAGCAAAGGCAATGGCAGAGGAATGTAAGGTTGGCTCTTGATCCATACAGACAGCTCCAGCAACAGAAATGGTTTGGCTGACTGGTCTCAGTTGGTCTTTAGTGTTGTCTCCACTGTGCTGCCAGCCTGGGTCTTCAGCTGAACAAGAGGAATGAATTTGCTTGGACATTTCCAGCCTTACAGTGCCAACCTCCTGGTCAATCAGTTTGTAGTCCTCATGTGACTTAAAGTTTAGTGTTGCAGTATTTTTATTTTATATTTTATTTAATAATTGTCTGCTTTCACAAAAATGATACAACAAATATACCAAATATTCTACACCTATAGCCAGATTTTAATTCTTTACTTCACTGGCATGAGATGAATAACATGGCAATGTCAATTCTAGATGTACATATAGTTTCAGGCAAAAATATGTTAGATCACCAAAACAAATGTCCAAAAATGCACAGTGGAAAATACACCAATATTTTTACTGATATTTTTACCACATAAAATCGATCTTCCTGAATACAACTTTAAAAAGAAATAACATGAAAGCTTGCCTGAGAGACTTCAGGCTGTGTTGAAGAATAAAAGTAGTCAAATACTGACTTCCAAGCTCATTAGAATTGTACAAATGCTGTTTGTGCCTTAAACTGTATATTATATTTCTATGTTTTTTTTGCACATTTCAATAAATTACTGCACCTACTGTATTTCCCACTGTATTGCACCTGTCTCATCTCAAAGTACAGTCCCTTACTTAAACCATATCTGTTGTGTTATATATTATTAGGCAGCATAAAAAAAATACATCAACCGTATATAAAAGGCTGCATTCACATGTAGGATAAAGATAAAACTCCCCAATTACTCGTATTGATTTTTGCACGGCTTTTTCCATCACAGCACAATTCCACACAGCCGGGATAAGTGCACTCTCCTACACCTCCAACACCTACTGTCATCAGCTAGGCACATTCTTTTTGATTTCGCTGGTGTAAAATAAACTCTGTGAAAGACATTATGTAACATACTTTTGCACATAGCCTCTCTCCTGTATTTACCATTTTTAGAAATGATATAAGCTCGGGTTTCTTCATCCGCTGTATGTCTTCCTCCATGTTTTCTGTCTTATTAGCCTTTGATTTTCAAACTTCACTTGACCTTTTGTTCTAATGATTGTCCAAAACAGCAGAAATGACTAGAAACCTAGACCGTCATCGCACTGCTCCAAGTTCCAGCCTTATAACATAGATGGCTCATGAGATCTAGAGAAAATAATGACAGAATTGAACTAACAACGTGTGACCTTTGCACTCTGTCATTATAATAGAGGCAGGTTTTTGACTCTAGGAATATCTGTCTGCTCTCACAGGAATATTGGAACATGTCTAAAAGAACATGTAAAATTACTCCTTACCTTGTGTACTAGAACAAGTAATTTACAGTCGAATGTTATGCTATTTTCATGAATTCGGATTGTTCGCAGTAGAGAATGACAGGAGGATGAAAGGGAATAGAGCATGACATGTGCTGTAGTTGAGAGCCAGACTCAAAGCTATACCAACATGAGTACATGGCATGCTTCCCAGCCCACCAAATATCAGAGCGTGCTTCAGGAGATCAAATTAACCGTATAGCTTGAGTTAGCTTGAGTCATTTTTACTGTTAGTGAAGTGAAAATCAGTACTTTTATTTTCTAAATGTGTAGTTTCTGGATGAATGCAATGCAAGTTTGTAAATAGCAATCATTAATCAATCAGCAATAAAAAATAGTTGAATATGGTGCATATAGTATATGAAGTGTTAGTACCAATAATGCTGCATTTATTGTAGTTCTTGGAGGTTTAGCTGTAGTATATCGAGAATTGCATTTGCTAGACATCATTTTGTTCACAAGATGAGATGCACGATCGAAGCTGTAGGTGCTGGAAGAACAAAAAAAAATGTTAAAGACTTCACAATAAAAGAGAGGTGTTATATTGTTTTCTATTGTGTAAAAGAACACAATGATGAACACAAAAGGGATCATGATATTGCTTCTAAATCTCATTTACCAAACTGAAAATACAAAGTGAGAGTCTTGGGGAAAATAGCAGACAGGGTTAGTAAAAGCTCACAGCAGATTGATCTGTGCATACAGCTTAACTGTATTAAAGCTCATAATCCCTGTAAATATCTTCAGGCAAGGCAAAGTCAGCCTTTTAACATTGACTAAATGAAGTAAATAGAAGCAAATACATTTTTAAAATTTGCTTTTCTGTTGAGCCCCCGTTCTTTATATATAGAAGCGAGTTGTGTGAGTTGGCTGCTAATGAGGCTTGCACATTTTCAACCAAGATATTTTGATGGTTTTGCCACCCTGCCGTTTGGGGGTAACAGTGAAGCTCGCTTTAAATGTAGAGCGTCTGTTCCCCTTTCGAACCTTTAACACCACAACAGATGGGGAGAATATGGAGCTCGGAAGGTTTTACCTCTGAGGTGGTAACAGTGAAGCCACTCATTAACACTGAATTTACCACTTCGTTAGCAATGCAGCTTCCTGTAGAGAGCGACCAGCCCTGGATGTCAAATCCACTGAGCATATGTTTCAGACTAAATCTGCTCTGGACAGCAAAATATGATCTGTTATAAGATCCAAAATGCACATTTTTAGTTGCAGTTATTTTTAATAGCTCAGAGCTATTTGGTTTCATACTGTCCAAATAAATATGGAGTAACTGTGCTTTCAAATCAGCCACTCTTAAACGAATTTGTATGCCTGTCCACGTGTATGTGCCAAAGTGTATGTTTTCTTTGTGTGAGTCTGTGTTTGTATTTCAGACAGATTGTGTGCCTGCCAATTTGTCAGGATTCAAGTAACAACAGTCTCATGCTGGGATCTGTGTTGGCACCATCACAGAGTGATAAGACGCAATATGATCTCATTGGAGGTGTACTTTGTTCCCATGGAAATTGGTCAATTTTAGCAGGCGACTGAGAACTTTAGGTGGAGAAGCAGGAAGGTTGTATCCCAGAGGTACGCTCACATAATTAAGCATCCTCACCAGGGTATTCAAGGCTAACAGCAGGGTTTGTTGTGAATAGAGGTGGCGAAAGAGGGTGTTGGAAAATCATAATGCGGCACAGAATAATACCACTCTCATTTTACCGAGCAGTGGGAATAGCCCAAAAGGAAAAAAAAAAGATTTTTTCAACAACACCACATTGTCAGTGAGAATGAGAGAAAAAGAATTAAATTTTACTATATTATGTGCAAGAGTTATCTTTTTCTATTTATACTGTGTATACGTGTAGATATGTATAAGATGTTGCACGCTTTATTTGACTCGCTCAAAGTTCGCAGAATAATTTTCTTCTTCATATTTCAGAAAGTATCGCTGCTATGTCTGATCTGAAGCTGAATGCGCAAGAGGACAAAGACGTGGAATCGGTGTCTGACAGCCCAGGTCGTACTCGGGAGCCATTACAGACTCACACGTTCTCCCCGAAGAACAATGCTGCAGGTCTGTCCTCAGATGAACACGAAAACCCTTTAAATGGAACCCAGCCGAATCCATTTGTATACAGCAGTGTCCCTGCTGTTCCCCATGCAGGCAATTCATTGCCTTCAGGAGCACTTGTTAATGGACCTGGTTCACACCCCAACTCAGAGGTACACTGTGTCCTGAACAAAGGCACTGTTTTATCCAACAGTGTCCTGGATGCCGTGTGGCAAGCGGAGAAGGACACGAGCCCCGAGGTGTTACCACCACCTAGTGAGCTTCAATCAGACGCTTGGAAGAACACAGTGGGACCCGACGTAAAAACACCGGCCACACAGCCAGGTGTCAACACGCCACTGTCTCACTCGGAGGAGAATGAGTCTAAACTGGCCTATTCCACGCTGTCAGGTGACAGTGCAGAGCAAATGCACATTAGCCAACCTTTGACAAAACAGACAATAAAAACAAGATCTCCACGGGACATGGAACGGTCTGGAGTCTCCTTGGATGATTATGATAATACTGAAGTAATCAGGTGGGATTCAACAAGAAAATGCTTTTTGCACAACGACAGAAGGCTGGAGACCAAAGTGATGCCCCAAAGAGACAAGAAGCACAATACACACACGAAAAGCATGTTAGACTGTCTTGAAAAGGTTAACAACAGCTACAGACATTTCTGCAGTGGTAATGATGTTGAAAGTGTTGACACTGGCAACAAAGATGAATTTCTGGGTACACAATCTGACATTAAATATTCAGTTATGCCATTCAAAGACCTTTCTCGGAACATAGCTTTAGACTCTGAGAGCCATATTTATAGCACAGCGCAGGGAGGCAGTAATGAGGAAAATGACCCTGAAGATGAAAACTGTGTTAGTCCAAAAGTGGAACAGTTGAAGGCAGAGCAACTTGAACGAGATTCACTTTTCTTTTCATGCACAACATGCAATGTTAATTTCAAGGAAAAAAGACATTTCCATAGACATATGATGTATCATTTAGGCAAGCATAATCAGGTGAACAGTGAGAATGATTCACAGCCCTTTATATGCGGAGAGTGTGGGCTTTTGTTCTGTGATAGCAACTCCCTCATGAGGCACATCATTATTCACCAAGATAGGCTGGAAAAACTTATGGAGGAAATCGAAGGTCTCAAAAAGACTGAATTTGAAGACGGGGCCACCGCAGTGGCGTGCTCTCGGTGCACGTTTGGTTGTAACTGCCAAAAAGTCTTTGTCCAGGGTACCAAAACACGTGATAATCTGAAGCACTACTACTTTTGTGAGGAGTGTAATTACATTTCCTTGACACGGCAGGCACTTGTAGCACACTTACATGTCGCACACCTCAACACACACCAGCCTCAAAACAGGAAAATGAGTCATACTAATGATGCAGGGGGAGCACAACATGTTCCGTTTCAGTGTAAAATGAGTTTTTTCCCAAGGAGAGACAAAGTAGTGTTAGGAAAACATTCTGAAATGCCATATGTTGGCAAATATAAAACAATGGCTCGATGTAAACCAAATCTATTTAAATCTACTTTAAAGGAAAAACTCGACCGTTCCACTGAAAAGGGGGATATTCACATTCAAAAAACTGTTGACAACATTGTAAATTGTCATCAGTTTAAACCCAATGCCAGCTGCACTAAAAGCATGCTGTCGCCATATTTGTGGAGAATCGACAAGCATGGAAAGTTACTCTTACAACCAGCAGAAAAATTGGATGTGGAAACTGATCTCACCTGTGTACAAGAAGATGCTGAAAACAATGACCGCAGGGCTTTTGGCAGCTTAAAGCTGGCAAACCGTCCTACAGCCGCTGCTTTTACAGCCAGGAAGCTTAAATTGGACCAGATGTTCTGTCAGGGAAGCAAAAATGACCCCGTAAACGGGAGTTTACAAGTACAAGTAAGCCAAAATTCTCCATCAATGGGAAAAATGACTACACCTTTGCATAACACTACTGAAAGAATGAATGGTAATATATTGCCTGGGCTTAGCCAGAGGCTTAAGAAACAGTGTGCAGTTAGGGAGTTAAAGAAAGGCTGTGAGGGTGATGATAACTTCAGTGATGACACCAGCGAAGCTACAGGCAGCTTCTTGGAAAGCAGCGAGAATGAAAGGAACTCATATGCTCGGAGGTATTTGAAAAAGAGGCAGAGCTTTACAGCCAAACACCAAAGCCCCCACGCACTCAAGGTTGAAGATGATGGAGATGAAGACTGCAGTGACATAGAACAGCTCATAATCAAAGAGGAGCACATTGAAACGACAGTGAGTGATGATTCCACAGAATTGCCTAATACATCTCCAAGTGATAGTTTTGATATGTCCCCCACACCATCAGTAAGACATAAGCTCTGTCCTTACTGTCCCGCCACGTTTGAGTCCGGAGTGGGTCTGTCCAATCACGTGCGAGGACATCTTCACAGAGCTGGGGTGAGCTATAATGCCCGGCACATGGTTTCACCGGAGCAAGTGGCATTGTGGGACTATCAGCCAAGAATCCGCAGAAAGATTTCTACTGGCATGAGAAAAAAAGGTACGATTATTTTAACAAATAATAAATACAAACCGAGTCTGAATGGACTGTGTGCCAAAACTAATATCCCTAACACCGATTGGCTCATTATAGCCTAGCTTGTACAATGTTAGGTGCCTGCACATACTGTAGAATTTTAGTGTAAGTGTGCCACCTACCAGATGTGTTCTGTATGTCCTTAAATGCTATCAACAGATGAATAACATTATATTTTGTAATTTAGTTAGAAAATCATTTTGCATTTTTGATAGGAGAAAAAAATGGAGCCAGGGATGTGTTGGAGCAAGCATCTATAATCTTAGTCAGTGGGATTGCATATTGCGCACCTCTCTGTAGAAGCTTTGGTTAATTACTCCATGATAGAAGTCAGAGTTCTTCAAAGCTCCACAACCATTTCACAGTAGCACTTCAGGATATGGTATAGGGTTTACGATTTAGTATTTCTGTGATCGGCAGTAGGGTCTATTATATGACTTACGTATAAAAGCAGCATAGAAAATCTATATCTATAAAGTTTCACAATCCAAAATGTACGCTAAAAATAGTTTTTTTCTTTCCTTAAATGGTGACACACTTTTCTTATATTACAGCTGTTAAGCCAGAAAATCGAGGACAACACACGTGTCCTGTGTGTTTGGAATGTTTTGATAGCAAAACTGGCATCTCTAACCATGTGAGGGGACACCTGAAACGAATAGGTACAAAGGTTACCAGCAGCAGTAAGTCTCCACTGTGCGCACTAAATGAATTGCTACAGAACAAAACGGAACGTTGGAACAACCTTCTGACCAAGAGTCAGTTCTCCTCTCAACCTTTAGCCCCTCAGAAGTTCATCTGCAGCAATGGCCTGTTTCTGATGCAGACAAGCATCCCAGGGAAACTCCAACATGTCAAAAGGAGTCTGCATCCCATAAAGAAAAGCCTTGTGTGTAAACACATGGTAGATAACCTCTCAGAAAGGAAGAAGCTACAGGGGGAAGCAGAAAAAGGCACTGCAGCCACATCAGGCGCTTTAGTTGAACTCCTCAAAGCCAAACAGGAAAGTGTGGAGCTTGCAGTGAGCCAAGAAGCCTATGCAACCAGGATGATCTGTGAGATGACCAACGATTATATGGCCGAAACAGAGATGACCAGTCGGGAACCAAACTGGTCTGCTGGTATGGAATCTTTAAGTCTAGATTTGGACAGCCAACATACTCTATGTAAAATACATCATTTTTAAATGTTATGCAAAACCAGCCAAAGCAGAAAAACAAAAATTGAGGTATGACCCATTATCATGCATTTAATAGATCATATGTAGGACAAGCTACTGTATGCAAGCTATTATATCATTAAGTGTAGTTTATTGTTGCGTTTTAATTGTTTTTTTTATTTAATTGTCTTTTTATTTCTCAATTAATTATCAGTAGAGGAATAGCATGTTGACCCAGGCAAACGCTAGGCTTGCATAAAACATAACCGCGTCCATATCAACAACAACTTTATATCTTTTAGATTCAGAGTGTGCCCTGTTTTTGAGCTGCTTCACTTGCGTCAAAGTCAACTAATTATCAGATTTTAATTCATATTTTATTATTAGAAATTTACCATGTCTCATCCCAGATAACGTGTTTATTGTCGACAGAATACAGTTAAACAGTGTGAGAATTGTTCGCAGTCATTTGATTTGTGGGAAAAGCACATTCTCTGCATAGAATGCCACCAAAGTGCTTTTGAAGTTCATATTAAAAAAACATGAAATCCTCTTGATGTTGTGTCACAAGCCCATCATCCACGAATCCACAATTTTGTTTAATGTCTGTCCAAATCAAATTTTCAGCGAGGTACTAAGGAGGAGGTTGATAAAGATTTCAAAGCTGCAGTGTACTTCCCAAAGATGTTTTATCCCGTCTTCTGTCCTAAAGACTGATGAATGGCAATTTGTAGACATTTGGGTATTAACGTAAATGCACCACCGAGTTCGTTTCTTCTCACCTCAAGGTCAAGATGACTCTCAAATCATGTGTTACTCACATTTGTGGCATATTTTTCTTTGACATACAAATAAACTGAAAAGTAAAATCAGGTTCTTTAATTTTTGAAAGATCGTTCGGGATATCTACTGAACTATGCCAGATATCATTAATCATTAACATGCAGTCTAGTGTACAGCAGCATTGTTGCCAGTTTTCCTGTAAAATGAATGTATCTGTGATTTTGTGTGTGTGTTTCTGCGTGAGTTTAGGAATCCTTTGTGACTCCCTCGAGGTGGCGAATTGTATGTGAAAAAAGTCCCCCTGAAGACACAAGATTGTGTTAAACTTTACCAGTAACACTTTCCAAACAGGAGAGTGCAAATAAGATGCTTAGAATGCAGCCAGGTGGAAGAAGACTTTAGCGCACACTGGGACTAACAGTTTATCCGATAATAAAATTACTGCATGAACTCAAATATATTCTATATTTCTTCGTAAATATTCAACTTCTAATGTTTGGAAACTTGGATTTGTCACATATGGTATCATGTGCAGGCTAAACTGTATTAAAATGAATATATAACCTAAATATTAGGGAAATGTTAAATACACTCACATCATTTATTTTGTTTTTCAGGGGAATGTGACTCAAAAAAGATTTATATTCAGTGTGACAGCACCTTCCCCACTGCAAATGCACACAGGAAGAGGATTGCAATTTTTGAAGAAGCAGGTAATTTCTGTTGAAGTAAAACGAAAAGCAGATGATATTTGCTGTATTTAGAGACAAAATGTTGCAAAATGTGCATTTAGAAGTTCCTGTCAAGGATAAACGGATGCATTTCTTGAGATAAAGAATTCTGGTGCTTTATTTTCTAGACTATGATTTTAGGAAGAAGAAACCAAGACTGAGGCCGGGGCTCAAAAATAATAATTTACCTTCACTGAATACTGAGATGTGCACACTGACCTGCAGGTAAAAGGAATGAAAGGCTACATACACAGTATTTCAACAAAACAACGGTTAAACCGGCAGATGTATAAAGGACAAGTTGGAATATTGACATTTGCATGTTTGGTGGTTGCAAGCAATTTGTCTGCACCCAGTTTTATGACTGTATATTTGCACACCATGATGTCACCCAGTGGTTTGTAAAGTCCTGGACAGCTCAACTTTTCTTAATAGTAATTACCATATTGCTCTTTTGGGCCAGAAGGAGCCACTCAGAGAAGCTGTTTGGCTTTGAGAATGCATTTAGCTCAAACTTGCTGCATATACCTGGTAGTTCTGCTAGATCTAACTTAGATTCTAACTATAAACAAATCACTGAGGAGTTTTTTTGGAACCGAACTACCACCTGCTGCAAAGGGTTAAAAGTCCAGAAACTATCAATGAATACTCTAGGAATTTAAATTACGGTTTGAATATTTATGGAGAAAGGACTGAATGTAATAGTTACGATATCTGTGGAGCTTGGGGGAAAGCAAATAAAATAACGTCCGTTTTGCTTTAGGAAATATATTGCTGTCCAGGAACGTGAGATCATCCAAACAGTCAAAGAGGTTCTTAAAATATAGTGACTGTCAAGTGTAACAGGTAGATAAGACTGAGTGTCATCAGCATAACAGTGATAGTGAACTTATGCTCCAAAAGTCAAGTTTCAAACACAGCCATGGTTTAGTAACTTCTATAAGTTAAAGTGCCAAAGTGCCCATGTCTCTAACAATGCCATTTTGAAGCCTCAATGAATTTTTTATAGTTATGGAAAAGATTGAAAAACATGAGAATCTTTGATTACAATGTATAGAATGAATAAAATTACATCTTAAGAAATGCATGAAGTCCAGAAACGCTGACAATTTCTTTTGGTGTATCTCTGCAGATTCTGCGACCTAGTTTTTCATGGTCCCTTTTCCATTCAGGAGGACTGGATCAGGCATTTACAGAGGCACCTTCTACACACCAGCGTACCCCACTCAGGGAGAGGGATGGTAGAGGTTTTAGCTCTTCATCAGAAAATACAACTAAGCATGTCTCACAAGGACCCAGAAACTGGGTAGTTTTACTTCCAGATCCCTCAAGATCTATGTATTTCTCTCTCTCGCTCTTTCTCCCTCTAGATATATCTATATAGCTATATATATATCTATACCAGCATGTTTCTGGAAAGAAGTATTTTAGTAATCCAGGCTACTATATAGTATAAATTTTCTGTATATTTGCAAAAACTTAATTATAGCATATTTTAATGCAACACTTTGCCTCAGCTAATACGACTAATAGGATTCCTGTTTTTTGACTCCAATATAAATTATGCCCAACAATATGTATGATCCAAAAAATATTTTTCTCATTATATAAGTGCCTTGTTAATTCAACAAAACAACTGCTCAAAAATCAGATTTTTGTAAGAAGGTTTTCATTATAATACAAAACCTTAGGAGCATTAGTTAGAAGGAGAACTGCACTTTAAAAATAGACAAGAATTTGAATGTGTTTCATGTTTCATTTTCTTTTAGAGATAATATTCAGTGAAACTGTTGCTCTACTTGTACGCACAGTACAGAGTGTCATTAGTTTGTGGATGCTTTGTACAATTTCACCTCTGTGTACCTGCATCAGAGACAGAATTCTTCTTAATCCAAATGACATTCACGACGTTGGGACAGCTTGTTCTGTCATCATTTGTTCTTTGCTTTAACCTTCAACATTCAGCTTAATTTCTGAAATCTGATTCTCATTGTTAGGCACAACAATAGCTTTTTATGAAAAACCCTCTTTAGTTGTAACAAAAGTTATATTATTTTCTATGATTAGCTCTGTGTTTCCAAAGGTGCTGTCTTTGGTTCAGTGGAAATGTGTTGTAATTAGAGACATCACGCTTGAGATTCATACTTAACAGTTTAAAGACGGAAATACTATGAACATTACCTATTATCCAAATTCACTTGCACTTAAATTTGTCACAAATTTTGCATGACGGGACTTCTGGCTATGCGCTAAGATAAATTTAGGTATTTCAGCATGTGAATAAGTACTTTTGCCAGGTTCTTTCAGTAAAATGTAGTAGTTTACCTTTTTCTTAGTACATTTTCATAATTGTATTCTCTACATTGTATATTTTAAGAACAGCTAAGGCTTTGATGTGCGTGATCTAGTCTGGCTGAACCTATTGCCAAAGCACTTACCTCGATTGTAACACTTTGGATTTATACTATATTAAAAGCCAACAAATAGTATATTTAAAATTCAGAAATTTAGATTTAGCTAAATCAAACAAATGCTTGCTCTGGTTTTGCAACCAAATACCATGAAAGGATAACTATTTTATGCATTTACTTGCCTATTTTGAATATGAAAAACTGCAGATATAGTATCTCCTAACATGTTGTACAGTTTAGCTTTGTAATAATACATGTTGTTAAATCAATTTAAGGATTCCAATTTGATTTGGATTATATCTTCTGCAATCAAATATTCATACAATTCTGATGAAACTTGCATGCAAATATTTGTATAGAAATCAGCTCCATTGATATTCAGCATGTGTGATATGAAAGAAGTGTTGTAAATTTAAGGAATTAAACACATGTTTATTTGTTGATGCTGTGCCAAATTACATTAGTGACGTTTTTAAAGATTTTTTTAGTCTGACAAAAAGATCTTATATAATGTGATACCATGCTTAGAGGAGCATCTGACTCCTCTCAGCTGCACTGGCATTATTTACAACAGCAGTTAGGATGGACTGAGCAAAAGGTTTAACGAACATGCGGATAATTGAGCAAGGTGAGATTAGGTTAAACAAGAGACTTCATTTACAATAAAATAGTGTTTATCTCACAATATGCTGTTGAAAAGACATGTTAATTAATAAACCTTAGCTGAATCACAGATCAACAGGCAGGTGCACATTTACACACTGAAACAAACATTGCTGGCTGGAAGAAGTCCTAAGGCAATTTGAGTGTGGGTGATTGAAATCCATACTCGACTTCCAATGTAAAAATATATTCCAAAGTTTTTCTGAAAATAACACGATGTCTGTTTTGTGTTTCTTTTCCTCTGCTGTGCCTCAGCAGGGAAACATAATCCAGGGCAAAGAGAGAGAGAAAGGAAATTTCTTGGTGTAAAACTGTAAGCTTGAAGGATAACCACATGCGTTGTTGAAAACAGACTCCGGAAAGAAGGTTCATAACATAGCAGGCCTTGGTGACAGCATTCTGTCACTCAGGCATTGGTCACTGTTCCTTTAATATTTTTCACCTTTGTTCAGCTGCAATTTTTCACTATACATGGAGAAGTCTTTTTTGTACTTGTGCCAATGAGTATTGTCAGCATTGGCTCTAGTGAAGTGCAAACACACCTTTGAACGTTTACTTCTCTCTGCCATTGTCAATAAAAGCAATGTCTTCCTATGTGTCACCTCTTGCAGCAGCTGCTCCACCCTCCAACCCCTTAGAAAGATCTCTCTCCTGGACTGGGAATAGTAAAAGATGCATGTTAAATGAATATCGCCATCTTATTGTAAATCAGAAACAGAGTTGATTAGACACAAGAGACGTGTGCAGCATAAAAAAGTGAGATCAAGCCAACATGCTCAGATTCATATTTGAAAGGGGCTTTCTCTTTCAGATACATTTTAAACGGACTTTTGCACATGGCTGAAGATGTCTTTATTTGCCTTTATTTAAATGTATTATGTTTAATCAAGACACAACCTTGGCAAATGCCAGTCGAAATAACTCGACAAATGAGAATTCACAAACGGTTAAATTGATTGGCCAGTTTGTTTGTAACCAAAAAGCAGAACCAGTGCCTGTAAGACCCAAACATTGGTGTCATTAGCCTATTAAATGGCAGTTTTCAGATATTATCACTCCAGTAGATTTGGCTAGTGTCTCCTAGCTCACTAGCAGTCTGTTTTAACCTCGTTAAATTACGATGTTGGCACAGATAACAAATAAAAGCAAGGTAGAAGTGACAAGGTTGGTATTCAGTGGTAGTGAGGTCAGTGGTAGCATGAGACATTTGTTGCACTGGGGTTTGTGTCGCAGCTGCAACTGGTTTTTAGACTTTATTTTACAACTAATATGTGCTGCTTAATGGGCCACAAGCATCCAAAGTTAGTGAGTAAACATTAAAGCTCTTCATAGAAACTCAAAAAAACACAGTTGTCATGCTGTTTATCCCCATTTTTCCCATTAATGTTCTGCTATGTCTATTTTAAAGTCAATTATATATTTGTGGAAGTAAATGAATATTTTGCTAGCTTCAACCATGCATGAATATAACAACAGTGAAGCCGGATGCGAGTTTAAATGACTTTCTCTTGCTGCTTCAAACCTGCAGTGCCTTTGAAATCTGTGAGTGGAAATATTTCACAGTATATAGTAAGTGATGTCTTTTACATTCAGACAGCAGAAAACTCATTGTTTGTGTTAGTGCGGGATGGCCATTGCCTTACAGATCTTCAGCTGCAACAAGATTCACATTCAGACAAAAGAAAATCTGAGTGCTGGTGTCACTTTGTTTGGAAGATGTAGAGGAAAAATAATAAAGATATGATCTAAATAAAGGCAAAATATGAATTTGTAGTGGATTTAATGGAGTAGAGTTTAAGGTTGATTGGTGTTTATCATGTATTAATCTGTTTAATCTGCCCTGAAAGTGGTGGCGTAAACAACCTCAAACGCCACAGCAATTTTTTTGACAAAAACGTCATCATTCTAATTTCAAAGAAACGTCTCTTTGATTACAGAGCACAGATGCAACTTTTAGCAGCAGCAGCTGGAGTTGCCGCTTTTAGCTGTCTAAAGGTGTCTTATGTGATAATGAATCAGCCCCTTCCCCACAACACACAACCTGATTTTATTTGTTATGTTTAACAAAATTTGTTGCAATTCAGTTGGGTGAAAGATGCACATTTCAGTGTCATTTTGCACCATTATTCCCAACAGAAAGTAATTTTAGGGCTATGTGCTATTTTAAACTCCAGTGTTTTGCAGCAGAACTGGCTGGGTATTTGATGTTTCTAATGCTTGAGAGCCACTTCTGGGTTTTCTACTTACCAGTGGCAAAGGGGGCTAACCCTGCAGTTTATCTTGGGCAGTATTTAAAGCAGCGATCAAAGCTGTACAAACCAATTGTCATCATGCTTCTCTGGAGGGAATTTTGAAGTACATTAATACTCCTTCTTTGGGAAATAATTGTGCCACTCTGTGACTTCATTAGGTCTCCTGGCTGTTTCAAAAGATGTTCTCTCTGGAGGTTGAAAGCCACATCGCTGGCAGACAGCATCCCAAGGGGTTGAATGAATAAAAAAAAGGAGAGATTATAATGAGATTGAGTTAGCCATGACCAGAATTGGGCTTTTCATTATCCCACTGGCTGGAGAGAGAAAGAGAGAGAGAGAGCAAGAGAGGGGGACAAGGCTGACAAAAAGAAATGTGTTGTTGCAGGACCTGCTCGCCATCTGCCAACTGGGTCCAATGGTAGGCAGCCAATGCATGCTTATCATTTCCATGGGTATCAAAGGGGCCTCCTCTCTGGAGATTTCACCATTAAAACTGCAAGCACTAACCCCGTACAAAGAGCGAAACACGCATTTAATTCAGAGGTAACAGTTTCTGTCAATTTAGCAAATCAAAATCAGGGGCAGCATAAAAAAACCCTTCAATTACTTCAATTTTTATGATGTGTACGGCAGTATCCCGAAAGAGTATGCATCAACCAGAAGGACTTTTTTTTATTAGCTATGCTTTTATAAATAAATATATATTTTTTTTCAGTGTCTGTGGCAGCAGTGAATCAAAGGTCAGGAGCATTGATCGTGACCTGTTCCTTTGGCCAGTTATTTAGAAGTGCCACATATTGTCTGTGTAAAAAAAAGAAAAAAGAAAAAAAAGGAGAAGAAAAATCAATAGGTTTCCATTATCTGGTTGGGCAGTGTCACTGGCCTGTCAATGATCCTGTTACAGCGGCGGTACAAGGGTGACACGGGCCCACACTCAATCGCTGCTGACAAGAGGAAAACATGCTGACAGGCACCGGGAACAAGTTGGAACACAGATTTGCACTTCAAGCAGCCGTCCGAGGAGGTATCGTGCAAGGCCACCACGTGGCAGAGGGGGTGAGCTGGGTTTGGGTGGATGTGTAGGGGTTGATAGGTGGGGGTGGTGGTGCTGGGGAGGAAGGCGGGTGATTCCCAGCCAGCCTCCTTCTACTGTCTGACTGTCTAGCTCTCAACCACAAATGCTTTTATCCTCCTATAAATTATTCACCCCTGGATACACCAAAGGAAACTCGCTTGCACTGATTGTGGCTGAGGGGAGATTCATAAAACCTATGCCCCAGTCTGCATCCACTGCAGCTGCCTGGACACTCCTGCAAACTTCTCCAAATCTCTACTCTATGCAATATAAATATAGGTTATGTTAAGCACGAGCACTGGAATACCCATGTTTTTTTGGGCTTTGTGAATGGTCTCAAAAGGAAATTTGCCAAATCTTTGTATTTACAGGTATTAATCATTTTCCATAGTTATTGACTTTCTGACACATTAGCTCTTCACCTACAAAGAAAACAAGAGTCGGCTTTCATCAGTCAGTCCAGATGGCCAGTCAGAAATTAAGGAAGACATCAACTGTCTCTTGAAAGAACATGAATCAATATATTTTGACAAGGATCAAATGTGCTTCAGATGAACCTTTTTGCCCTCCCAAAGCAGTTTTTCTCCTCTTGTCAAACCTCTTTATTTTTGTTTGTCTACATATAATGATCACATTTCCAATGACTCTTGATTTTAGCGACTATACTTTTACCAGCATAATGAAACTGAATGCAATTCACCGGATAATCATCTGCGGTCTAAAGTCGACATACAGCTAACAAAATACTATACGATATACTTTCATTCTGTGTGCCCAAGTCGTAGCCAGCGCGTGCTACTTTTCATTCTTTTTATTTTCATAAAACAGGCCTTGGGACACTCCTGACGTCACGTCCCTGGTTAGAGAAAAATACCGTCCTTCCTTTTTTTTCTTTTTCAATTACACATACATATGTGTACATTTTTTTTCTTCATATGTAGCCAATTCTGTTCATAATGACTGGGGAATTCAGGTTAATATGTTGACAAGGTTTAACAACAGCGGGTCATGTTGCACAACACGCATGGCTGGCTCCGTTCACTCCAGCAGCTGACAGGTCCTAATCATGCGCTGCCCTAAAGGCACTGAAGCAAAAGAGGGTTTTAATCACTGAATTATAGACCAGCAGCGAGGCTTCAAATTGAGACGTAATTAAAGTCAAAGTTGCAGTAATTGTTTCAGCTAATTGGGCAGACAAGTGCATTATGGCGCGATTACAATATCTGCAGTAGTTCCCAGGGTTTGAGTTTTTTTGTTCTGTTTTTTAAATATTATTATGGAGAAATGAGGCATAATCTTGGTTTCTGACATGAAACATGTCAACAATAGGTTACGATTTATACTTTATGATTTAACATTTTAAAACAGAGGGGAAAAAACAATTAAAATAAAAAGCTTACAAGCAAGTGCTCACCCCTTTTGTGGTATTTTAATTAATTAAGTTGTGTAATTTTTCTTCTATCGCTTCACCTATTAGTTCAGTTGAGCACCTCTCTCACATGAATTTAAATAAGTATCAGCATCAATGTGTCATTTACAGTAAGGAGATTAATAATGCAGTCAACACGTCGTCCTCGGAGGTGATGCGGCACCTAAGGCAACATCATTATTTCCTATTAATTACTCCGCCAACCAAATGCCTTTAGAACTGGAGCTGCAGTAGGTGTGATAGGGGGAAACTGGTCTGGGAGCAGCTGCCCTGTATCCCGCCGGGCTCAGCCTGACCTCCTTTTTTTTCTCCCCCTCTTCTTCTTCTCCTTTTACATCACTAAACTGGAGGCTTGACAAGCCCTATAGGAGCGCAGAGATTTTGATTTGGATGAGGGGAGAAATGTAGAATATGAGCCAGAAATGACGATTCAGACAGCAGTTCGGGTGAAGCCAAAGAATCAATTGTCGAAAAAAAAAGAAAAGCTGATCTTTAGCGTGTCTGTTTTGGGGCGGAAGTGTCTGTAGTGATCCATCATATTACACCCGGGCTGCTGGAACCGCTTTCCTCTTAAACATGCACTTTCACCCACGCTGATTCAATCTTTTTTTTATTTCATTATTTATTTTTAAATTAGATTTTATTTCTTAGACTTTTACCACAAAAATAGTAATAATAATAAAATAATAGCAGCTAATAAACGTTTGGCAACCATTAACACAGGAAGTAAATCTATTTACGGGTGTGACTGTATCCTTGTAATCACGTAGAGGGGTGTGAAACGGCTCTATGGGATTAAAAACTGTTTACTAACCACTGGGCCTATGAGCTTTTATGTGTTGACTCCAATGTGTACCTTCACCATTGAACAGTAGGGGGCGCTGTTCGTTTCGTCCTGAAAGCCAGGAGGAGAAACACATCAGCCGTTTTGCACAAAGTGGCTCCACTGAAACCGATAATCAACAATAATAAGCAGCCAGATAAAAATAAAATAATAGTAGGGAATTGAGAAAAATCACAAACTCGGTAAAATTAGTCTCCTTTTTTAAAATTTCTGCATCAATTCAAGCTGTCAGAAGCGCCTCTGTTCAATGTATTGTGATATCTTTAGATGTACATATCGCAGGATTATCTGTCAGGTCTAGGTACACGGGCCTTTTACAGTTTGACGGACTCTTTTTTTCTTTCCTCTGAAAGATAAAGAACAGTAGCAAAAGCCAACTTGACTTCCAGACCCCCTTATAAGGCCTTCTTTTTTTGGTTGATTCATTTAATTATTTTTCGATGCTATTTTATATGTTATTTATGAATCTATTGTGGCTACTGAAAGATCACATCCCCACCTTGCTCTCAGGACGCACACGTCTCCAAAAGCTGCACAGACTGTCTCATCATCACACCAGTAATCAAACGTATCTCAGAACAAAAAAAGAAAAGAAAAAGAAAGCAATCCTTTTTTTTTCTTCTTTTGTCGCACTGAGGGAGAAATTTAATTACAACCTCGGGTGTATGCTGGCATTGAGGAGAAAAAAAATCCAGGCGACAAATGAATATACAGAGCAAATGACAAAACATGAGGGGGAATAACTGACAGATGAAAAGACAGAGGATGTGCAGCTAACAGGCAAAACGCGCCGGTACAAAGCCGCGCACACCTTTGAGAGCAAGAGTTTGTTTTATTGCACTTCTCCCGGGTTGCATCTCCTGTCGATTTGCAGAAAAAGAAGGGGGGATAAGCGAACATGCCCTGTTTAAGAAACAAACATGCAGATTAGATGGGATTCTGACAACACACAGCTCAGACTTCGTGTCCCACAGCTCATCTCTCAACAATGAGAAAAAAAGAGAGAGAGGTTTGAAAAATCCACTCAGCGCGCGCTTGACAACACTTACCGTCATTCTGCAAACAGTAAAT